GTTTTAGGATACAAAGTGTACCTATCATGGTGACGTAATAAAAATGAAAAAGCGATTTCCTTGTTGAAATAGGGTGGTTCGTAATGAATGGGTCATAGTGTAGGTAACTGTAAATAGAAAAAAATGTTACACCTCTAAATATATTTCAAACATATTAATATTTAATTGAAATTCATATGAATATAAAAATGCCATTAAATACAAAAAAATGTGTCTCGCCACAAATAAGTGGCTAGATATCAGGCGTTTACAAAATTTCTCAAAAATTAGGGCATGCCACTAAAAAAAATAAACATTTTTGGATTGCAAATTTTATCTTGAGAGAAAACGGTTTAACTTTTTGTCAACGTATTTATCGTTTAGTTACAATTTAGAAAATTGTAAAAACACGTTTCTATAAATTTGCAATTATTTAAAAGATTTTACAAACAATATCCAAAATGATATTTCTGTACATAAATTCCACTTTTCGATTTAAAACATTTCAAGGGAATTAAAAATGTTTTAAAAATAAACGCAAAGCGTGATTTTTTCAATCACCACCATAATATTAATAATAAGCTTTTACAAAAATTGGAGACTATTTTATAATTGTTTCGAATTTTATGCGGTGTTTTATGAAAAATATTAAAATATTGACCTTTAACTTTGTTTTTGCAATTTTTCTTACTTATAATATGTCACTGAAAAGCCAAAAAATGTTCTATTTGCTTAACTTAAAATTCAATATGGCGTCCATAAGAAAAAAAAAGGTGATGACGGTTTCTCACAACCGAAACGTCGCAATGAAAATATAAATATACAGTAAAATTCTTTGAAAAATTTTTTTAGATTAGTGCGAATCTGTTTTGAGTTGGATGTGAGAGGGGGCAAGTAAATTTTTTTTGGATTACCTTCAGTACAACTCGCATAATAAAAGTGTATATCCCTAGATCTGGGCGAGGTCCGGAACATTTTCAAAATTGCAAAAATGTTGCAAAAATTTTAAAAAATACCTATTTTATCTGAGTTTTTTGCTTATATCTTGGAACTTATGCATTTTGGAAGAATACTGAAGAGGAAAAAAAGTTTTAGAAGTGAATTTTGCACAATGTACTGTAAGTTAAAGATGTTTAAATTTATTACCGATGTTGCAAAATAGCAATAATTAATGAAAGAAGGCAAAATAATCAAGTTTTTTGGATATTTTTTTTTAAATATTTTAATTGCTCCGAGGGCATTCTAATTTTGGTAAAAAAAAAACTTTAGAGTATAATAAAACAACACACCAAATTTCATTAAAATCTGTTCTATAGATTTCGCAAAATAATTTTTTGAAAAAATTTTGAAAATCAATTTTCGAATTTTCAAAATGTTGCACAGCATCAAATAAAGCATTTAGACATTTGAAATTTTTTTCACATAGAAAAGACCGCTCAACCTTTCAAATGGTTTTTGAAAAATTGAAATCGGTTGATTAGGACGTCCACAGTAAATTTTTAAAGTTAATACTCTTTTTTTTTTATTAAACAATTAGATTACATTTATCAATTTGCAATTTAGTTTTTTTCAAAAATTATAATTTTAAAGTACTATTTTTTATTTTTATCTGTATTTAACAAAAAAAATAATTTCCAAATAAAAGAAAATTGTTTAAACAAAAATTATTTAAATAACTATAATAATTATAACTAAATACATTCATATTCAGTGTTGAAATATATACGTAAACAAATTTTTTCATTGAAAAAATGCAATATCATTATATTTAATGCATAAATAATAAACATTGTTTTATTAGACAGTTGGCATTACGATATTTGGATTTCTTGGCTCGCGAGACATCGGACTAGAAAAAAAAGATAGAAATTGGTCCATTAGAAGCCGAGAAAATGCAATTTTTTTCGTACCTTCGCATTTTGAACCTCCTGAATTCAGTCTCGGAGCGAAAGCCTCCTTCCCCACTTTTCGTATTTTGAATCATATCACTTCTTCGAGCGACAGCTGTCCCGCTGATTTTTATCTATGTTGCCGATAAATTTTTTCAGCTTAGAACTCGGAAAAACGAAGCCACTGGATCAAAGATTATTGCTAAATTGTTTATAAATTAACGGTAAATGCTGATAAACTTTGACCGCTTATATCTCGAGAACCAATAAACGGAATTTAGCTTTTTGAAAAAAACTAAAAAAATAAAAAAAAGAATGTTAACTTTAAAAATTTACTGTGGTCGTCCTAACCAACCGATTTCAATGTTTTACAAACCATTTGAAAGGTTGAGCGGTCTTTTCTATATGAAAAAATTATCTTATTTATTATTATAAGTATCTAGATGCTTTATTTCAGGCTTTTTAAACTATTTAAAAATTCGAAAACTTTTTTCAAAAAATTATTTTGCCAAAACTAACCGATGTTAATGCAATTTGGTGTATTGTTTTATTATAATCTAAAAGTTTTTTACCAAAATTAGAATGCCCTTGGAGAAACGAAAATATTTAAAAAAAAATATCCAAAAAACTTGATTATTTTGCCTTTTTTCATCAATTATTGCTATTTTGCAACATCGGTAGTAGATGTAAACATTTTTAACGTATAGTATATTGTGCAAAATTCAATTCTAAAACTTCTTTCCTCTTCAAGTATTCTTCCAAAATGCATAGGTTCCAAGATATAAGTAAAAAACTCAGATAAAATAGATATTTTTATAAATTTTTTAAACATTTTTGCAATTTTGAAAATGTTCCGGACTTCGCCCAGATCTAGGGATCTACACTTTTATTATGCGAGTTGTACTGAAGATATTTTAACAAAAATTAGCTTGCACCCTCTTATATCCAAGAAGTGGGATATTTCGACAGATCCGCCCTGGTCTATTGCTGTGAGTGTTTTCAGATTTTAAAAATTTCTTTAAATAAAAAAGGCACAGACGATTTTCGAAAACGCCACCTTTCTTTTCAAAATAACTCAAAAACCTGAAGGACTAGGACCAGTCTGCAAGCGCCTTTAAGTTAGCAACAGAACTTTGTAAAACTTTCCCTATTTAACCATTTTCCTATTCCTCATAGTTTCCAAAATACTAATACATGCATCATCAAAATGGTTCCCACTATATATTATTATATTTTATTGTTTATTGTTTTGTTTTGGTATTATAGTAATGTAATGTAAGTAATGGTGTTGTGTGTTGTTGTATTATGTGAAGGTGTGTAAATTTTGTGTGTTTATAATTATTAAATATCCGTTTGGGCGCCTTTTATAATGTAAAATGTCATTTGGGTGTGTTTATATCTAATTTTCCATTGAGCATAGGTTCTGATAAGAAAATTTTATAATAACATTGACAAACATAGACGAATTAGACTTTCTTACCTTATCATTGCTAACATCGCCTCCGGCAGCTTTACTTTGTATAAATAATGTTCACAGTGTAGATAGGATTTTATTAGTGTAGATAGGAATGTTCATTTTCTACCCTGTCCCTTAAGAAAAAAGAACACTTATTTTATCAATAGCATGAGTCCTTACCTCATAGGGGCGGTTCTATGCTCTTTTAATTAACCTTTACTATTTATTTTTTGGTAGGAAGCGTTGAATAAAAGCAAAATTTGAAAGATTTACACAAGATGACATTTATTACTTATTTTTCCTTCAATTTCAAACAATCCTTTTGATGAACACAGAAACTAAAATTTTCTTTATATACTTTTACATGAATAATTGTCTGAGAAATGCCTTATTCTACCTATTATAGTTTAGAAAATGTTTGGTCAACCAATTATCATTATGTTTAAACGTTTTTTAAAACAAATTGGCTTATATTACGAACATTGGAAACTAAATTAACACTTAAATTATAGAATGTTCAAAAATGTCAATTTAAATTTGAATCACTGAAATTGTTTATAGTCGAAACGGGTTTTCTGTTTCACAAATAGTTTTTATAGTTCAAATTTGCAACACTTTATGGCATGGAGAAAACAGTTATGCAACTGGACTTACTTTATTTCGTTCTGCCTGGCAATTTGCGTACGTTTCTTTAACCTTACTTTATTGTTGTGGTTTGTCTGCTATTCTCGTGCGTTGAGGATGGCTGTTGGGTCTGTGTATAGTGCTTCCTGGTGTTTTAGATGTTGTTTTGGGGAGCCACATGACAACATGCACCCCTCACCAGTCTCTCGAATCTCCTGCTTTCTTCACCTCTCTACAGCTTGTTGACTTCCTACGATGTTTTTTTTGTTTTTTCGGTACCAGGTAAATTCACTGATTTGGCCTATTGCCATTGGTTGCTCGTATCCATGTTATCATTTTCTAACTACGCAATTTCTCTAGCATATTGCGATGAATTTGATTTTGCGTAGTAGATTTTATACGCCTTAATTCTAATTTACAAGAAATTTTTTTATATGATATTTTGCTTGACAATTTTTTTTATAAGAAACTTCTAGCCTATGTGTTTCTGATGTTATAATATTTGAACTTTCTTTTGTACTAGATTATTTAACATTAATTTACTCATAAAATATCTAAATTGGTCCTTCTTGTGGCATTTTATTTTCTTGACATGCTTATCATTTAAAACGTATTATTTAAAATTTTGACTGATAATGTTTTAGGTTTTATATGAAATAACTATGAAATGAGCTTTTTATTTTTGTTTAAAAGTAATTTATGTCTTTATTTTATTCTACATTATAATTTCATGAAAATTTTCTATGCTATTTCTCGGTGTTGTGTCTTGAGATACAATGTGTTCATTTCAATATTTTACAGGGTGTCCATTTTTTTTGAATGTCTGAGAATACCAGCGGAACTAAAAAACGGTTTTATTTATTTAAACTGATGAATTTCGAAAATATTACAGAAACTTGTACTATACTCCGAAAAAAATTATAACTAATTACGATCTCGCAAAAACATCCTTCACAACGGTATAACGCAGCGTGCATTTCTCTGGCAAAAAATAATGCAGCCGTTGTGTTTCAATTTTGACGTTCTAATAAAAACGCTTTTCTTTGTTTCAGGGTGTGGCCAGCTGTTTAATAAAGGAAAAGTGATTAGTTACTAATTAGATTTTTTAAAAAACTTTAATAACAAAGGAAAAACTGTGACCAGTGAATGTGTACGATATGTTATATTTGTTTATTTTTATTGTTGATATAAGTTATACTAGATTGTTTCAAATTACATTCCCCGTCTGTAAAATATTGGTATTAGATCTCAGTCAGAGCAGTAAAACATTTTATTTTCATTGTTGGTAGTAAAACGCCATATCACAGGTCGTTAGCTACAAGTAATGAACGTGAAGTGAAGAATTTTTACTTTTATTTAAATAGTAAAGAGTTTGGTGCAATATGATATTCGATATGTTTTTAATTACAGCGTAAGTCGGCCAGGTGCCCCACGAATTTTGCTTTATATTTGCTACATCTGAATTGTAGATAGTTAAGTTATGGATATTTCTATATGTAGCTTTTAAACATTATAGTTTGGATCATTATTTAAAAATCCGCCCCGCCCCTTGCCGATTTATCGAATCCAAATTGGAAATGTTGAAAATTGTAAAATGACACGTACCACTGACATCTCCTTCAGTGTAAGTAACGTGGTGTAGAAACGATTAACGTGAACTAAATAATCTCTAAGTCAAATACGTTTTTGTTTTTATACCAATTGTTCGGTTTGTTAGGTTGGTACGTTTTGTTGATCCTGTAAATTATATATTTAAGACAGCCTATGGCTTGTCGTCGCGACGAGATTGACGAGAACACGTCAAGTCCTTAGTGATTCCTGTATAATATATTGTAAAACTAATAGTTGTTGATGATTGTGTGGTGAGTGTAAGACAGATGATGTACCTTATTATGTAAAGTAGTTTTAATCGAAAAAACTGTCTTAAATTTAGAACGAAATTATTATAATTATTACATGAAAAAATATTTCTAAATGTGTAAAATATATATAAATAACAAACTTTTAACAGCCTTGTTTAAGTCTCCTACCGTCCTTAAAAGGAACTCGATATTTCAACACCGTTTCGAATGTACCAAGGTAAGTTTGACCACGCTGATCGTCCTGTTTGTTTCAACAATGCCGCAAGAACAATATCTCTTCTTGTCTTGATATTTCAAGTAGCTGTAGCTTCGGTTGTGACGCAGGGCTTCATAGATGGGAAAATGTGTAATGGTCGGATGGGCCAGCTAAAAAACCCAACCAGTGAGTCACTGGGAAGGATTTTTAGAATTTTTAGGATGTATGTAGGTTCATCAAAATCCGTACTGAGCCGGCTTCTCTCGAGCCAGTGGCGGAACTATGTGCAGCAGAAGGGTTTCATGTTTAGAAAATCAGAAAAAAGGTATTTTTTATACAGGGTGATTTATTAAGAATGGCAAGTCTCGCAGTTGGAAATACCAGAGACTAGAACATTTGATGTTTAGGTTAAACATGTCTTGAACAGTATCAGCGGCTTAAGAGGTAGAGGGTGAAGAAAAATACAGTTTTATTTTAAATTGTTCAATTATTTTGAAAGTTATCGTAGCATCAGCTTAGAAATTTAAGTTTTACGTTTTTATGACATAACGAATAATAATTTCCGACCCATTTTGGCTTCGGGCAAGTTATATTCTATGGTTTAAGTAAATCTAAGTCTTCTTCCTTGAATAATTTATTATAAAAAAGTTTCTAGGGTATTATCCTGCGTTATAAATTACGTTAAATTTACTACGAGTTAAATTTTTACGTGTCGTTTTATATTTTATTTAGTGTTATCAATTGTACGATGTAATATAAATATTTAGTAGTAAACTCAATAGTTCCTGGAATAACCCTTTATTTTCATGTTTCGGGAACAGTAGATACTACATAACCCCACTAATTTTATCTAATATTCTGAGTTATGTCAGAAATCAACAAAATTCCGAAAAAAGCTGAAATTATTTTCACTTTTATAATTAAATTAACTAGAATTATTCATTCAAAAAAGATAATAGAAAAACGGATTTAAACATACGTGCATATTAGGGTGGCCCAAAAAAAAAGAATTTTTTTCGCGTCTCTTGTTAAAATATGTTAGTTTATCATGTTTTAAGAGCCCTCTCAAAAAAAAAATCAGCTCAAAAAATATTTTTTAGAGGTCGCTCAAGATTTTTAAGAATATTCAAAATAGTCAAAATTTTATTTTTTTCTTTTACTTTTTTTCTCGTTATTTTACCATTTTCTAGGTTGAAAAAATCTCGATTCTGAAAATTTGAAATCGATGTTTTAATTTCTAAGTCACTCATAATTATTTTAATTTTAAAAAATTAAAAAATTATAAATATTTGATACTCAGTGCGATAGTAAATTTTGCCTCGAGAAATGTTTTAAGTATCTCGTGATTTATTTCTATTTTTTTGTTCATCAAATTCAATAAAAAAAAATATTAGTTCGTTGATATTTATTTTTAGTGGTCGCTCGAAAACATTTTAGGTACTTACACTACTTTTAAAGTTAAAATAATTATGAGTTACCTTTAGAAATTAAAATATAGATTCGAAATTTTCAGAATCGAGATTTTTTTCAACCTCGAAAATGATAAAATAACGAGAAAAAAGATTAAAAGAAAAAAACATTCAATTTTTGACGATTTTAGAAATTTTTAAAAATCTTGAGCAACCTCTAAAAATTTATTTTTGGAGCTGATTTTTTGAGGGGGCTTTTAAAACATGATAAACTAACATACTTTCACAAGAGACACAAAAAAATAATCGTTTTTTTTTTTTGGGGCCACCCTAGTGCATATCAATGGAAATGTCAAAAAAATTATTGAAGTCAAACCCCCAAAAAAAATCTGGTGATTTTTTCTAGAAGCGTGATTTTAACTTTTTTGAAATTTTGCAGTTTTTTGTATGGCCCATGCATACTACCTCTAGCAAATGCAAATGGCAATGATTTTTCGAAATTTTCATAAAAAAAACTGAATTTAATTCAACGAAGCTTGTGGAAAGCCACAGAATTGAATTTTGCAGGGAGGCCCAAATATTGAAGTTCCGCCACGATCTCGAGCTCAACTCTAGTTGAAACACAACTCTCATGAGAATATAAGGTAAGTAAATCCACATTTAACACTCGAACGTTGAATTTAAAACTTAAATTGATACAAAAACATTTTTCGGTTTCATTTAACGTTACAAAATAAATTTCTTTTAATTATTAAGGAAAAAATTAAGACCAGCTTATGAAAAAAGTCTAGACTAACTTAACCATAGTTTATCCTTAATCTTTGCCCAAATGTACAGATTTATAAAAATCCTAATCTAATTTTAGTGGATTAATGGTCTTAATGATTTCAACTTGAAATTTTCAAACTCTTGCTTTTAAGAATAAGACTACAAGTTCAGCAATCATGTATTTATTTCTCTCTCCTCTAATGTTGATTAAATCTGAAAACTATGTTTTTTGATAGCAACCATTAAAAACAAAAAAAAGTTATTGTTGTAAGTATTAACATCTAACAAATAAAGACAAATGTAATAGAACATTTATAAAAATTCCGAAATTTAAAAACAGTATAAAACTAAATAAACTGAAAAAAAATTAGGATTATGAATGGGAAATGTGTTCATAAAATATATACATTTTTTTTATTAGAAACAGTTATCGACTTAACGAAAAATATTATTTAATGCTTTCTTAACATGAAAATTAATGTTCAATTAATTGTGAAATGCCTTTCGGGAATTCAAAATTTTGTAGATTTCTTTTTGATAGGTGCAGTACCAACCAATAAGTCTACAAAGAAAAAAATCGGTTAATTAAAAAAAGTTGCAGCAAATTTTTAATCACAAAGGAAATAACTTTGACGTTAGGTTACGCCATTATTATTGACTTTTTTAAATAGTGTCAGAGACACTCGTACCATAATTATAAATAGAATTATTTTACTAAAAAAAAAAAATGCAAACTTGACCATTTTTTAAAAATCGTTTTAGATTGGGATAAAAATATGTCGAGGTGTATGCTCAAATGAAAGTATTGTCTAAAATTGTTTATTTGTAGCGTAGTTGTGGTGTCTTTTCTTGTTTGTCGAATAGTGATTTAGAAAAATATCGTAAAACAATTGGGGGATATTTTAATGGAGTCATTGATGTTCCATTAAAGTCATTAATATAGAATAAAACACTATTTTAACGAACATTTAATTTTATGTTATTTGAACACCCATAGTAATTTAAAAGTTTCGACAACTATGTTTAAGACTGATCACACAACATCTTCCTATATATTAAGATGTAATAAATATATTTTTGTTGCAACATAGGTACTATATACAGGGTGATTTCACTTGAAATACAGAAACTGCAGGAATAGAATTCAAAAGATAAGTAGAGTGAATATACTGTAATAAATTTCATTCAATTCTAGATGAAGATATAGCTGAAAAAATATATTTTTTTGTAAAATTTAACACCCTGTATCTCAAATACCGAGTCCCGCAGGAAATAAGTTTATACAGCAAACTTTACTTATTTTTTGGTAATGAGTCTGGTGCTGCAGTTTCTGTATTCAAAGTGAAATCACCCTGTATATTGCCCTATAAAATTTTTAAACATTTATTTTTGGAAATATATATCTATTATTTTACGATCGCAAGTCTCTGCTGTTTAAAAATAATACATGACTTTTTTTATGAATTTGTCGTGACAAGTAATATATAAATACTTAAAAAAAGAATATTCGTAATGGGATATATATGTCGTTGATTCAATAATGTTTACATCTTCTATTTTAGCACATTCAGTAGTTTTCGTGGTAAAATACCTAAACCTCTTCCAAAACGAAATAGAGTTATTTTTTAAGTGATGCGTTATAGCAATGATCTAATTACCACATTAAGTAATGTTACTGATATAATCAAGGTGTGCGTAGCTTCATTACAGCGTGTGACTACATCGCTTTTGATAGAAAGAGATGATGAGATCTACGATGATTTCTCTCTTAACGCAATCATTGTATTTTCTTTGTTACACGGCGGTTGAGTTGCATGAAACGATAATGGGGACATACAATCACAAAAATTTTGATGTAAAATTGCAATACTATGTACAGGGTGAATTATTAACGCATATATAATCTACAAAGCAGTACTGTGTAAAACATGCAATTAAATGTTTTTATTGCAAAAAAAAGGAATAAAAAAGAAGAATATAAAGAATAGAAGAAAGTGTAGAAAAACAAAAAATTCATAGGAAATATGAGATATTTTAGTAGAGTTCATTGCAGTTTAAGTACATTTAATGAATGTTATACGAGGTCTGTATGTGCGATTTTCTGGAACAACGATGCAACGCAAAATTTTGCTTGAAACTAGGGAAAACTTGCACGAAAACGTTTCAACTTTTGCAACAAGCTTACGAAGATGATACTCTGGGTCGTACGGAATGTTTCGAATAGTTTTCACCGATTTGAAATTGGTCGTCGGTCAATTGAACGTGATCCTCGACCAGGAAGGCCTTCGACTTCAACTCATGACTCCCACATTGAGAAAGTCAAATATCTGGTGTGTGCAAATAGCCAAGAAATTGCAGAAGAGGCATCTCCATTGGTCCATGCCATGAAATTTTGACTGAAACATTGTGATTGTTTCTTCTCTCCGAAATTAAAGCCACTGCTGAAAGTTTTACTAAATACAACTGGTAGTGTGTGCCCAAGGATCTGCAAAAGGCTGAAAATCATCTTAGCAATTAAAACGTTATTTTTATACACATTCAAATACAACAGCTTTCAAATAACACAATGACAGCACAATAATGATGGCTTCTTTCAAACAACACAATTTTTGTTTAATATCCAAGGCCTACTATTGCTATGTTAACTTCTTTTAGTTTCTGCCGACTACAGATTATTTTCGTTATTTTTGCTTGATTGTTGGAAAAGGGCCACTTCAATAAGGAAATGTGACATAACA